GACAATAATAATAATAAAAGGTGTTCACAGTTAACTAGGGAGGATTAAGGGCCAGGACTAGACTTGCCAGGTTTCAGGTTACTGGTTATGTTTCTCCATCCAAATAACTAATACCAGAGGAGGACTCTTATTTTTAGGAGTAAAGTGGCTTTAAATTGAGGATGTGCGTCTCTACCCATTTCCCAATGCCAGCGTTATTTGTACTATGTAGGCTGGGCTTGTCCAGTGTTTGTGCAAAAGGAGGGGCCAGAGGTGAGAGCTGGCAGGTGTGTGGCCTTGGGAGCATTTGACGTTTAGATCAAGACATGAAGTGGAGCACCTTCCGATTGTTTCCACAGTCAGCTGACCGAGAGGCAGGTTGCTACCATGTCTGCTTTGTCCCACGTCTGTGATATCATGAAAGTCTGTCCCGTGACATCATTCCCCCTCCCTCCCCATCTCTGATTTTGGGCTGAACATCTCAGGGAAGGAGAAGCAGCTGACCCGGCGATGCTAGACAGGAGTCCTGTATTGCAGGCTGAAGTCTGCCACACATCTGTCTGGTTTAACGTGGAGAATGACTTGTTTTATGGCCACCTTTTATTTCACGATAACGCTTTATATTATAAGCATTTAATGGTGCTGCCTTTATGGCTACAGGAAGCTTCCTATCCAGCTGCCAGGCAGCTATAAAGACCTGGCAGAAAACCCTTGTAAAACTGTAATGACCATCAATGCCTGGTATTTAGGGAAAAATGAACAAGCATTTAAATGGGAGACTTGGGGGAAAAAACAATCGAAAACTAATCACGATCAAAGGAGTGGGGGTTGGGTTACAAATCACTCAGGATTGCCCACAACCCTTTAAAAAAATCACTTGTGAGTGCTTTTGCCGTTCCTGTAAATATTGCTTTTACTTGAACCTTGGCTGGAAGAAACATTCATTCTGCAGAAAATGTTGGATCCTGCCCCTTTCAAGCCTCCTTTCCGTTGCATTTCGCCAAACATTTGGGAAGTTCCTCCTCATTAAAAGATGGCATTTGCATTAGACTGCACCCCACAAAGAGTTCATATTTTCTGACCAGTAGGTATGACTAACATGTTTCCCCGAAATTTAGACAGTGTCTTATATTAATTTTTGCTCCAAAAACACATTAGGGCTTATTTTCAGGGGATGTCATCTCTTCTTCTGGTTGCTGCACAATGGTGGAGAGCAGGGTTTCACTTAACTGGGGCTTATTTTGGGGGTAGAGCTTATATGATGAGCATCCTGAAAAATCATACTAGGTCTTATTTTCAGGTTAGGTCTTATTTTCAGGGAAACAGTGTACCAATTTGGCTGTAATTCACTTTTTAAAGTAGTGTGCAACCTAAACTTTAACTCAGTTATACATCTTTTATACCGTGAGTTCTTGTTATTATGCGTCGTCAAGTCAGCATGGACTTACAGCAACCCTCATGGGCTTTTCAAGGTCAGTGAGCTATTTAAGGAGTGGCTTTACCTGTTCCACTTCCCCTGTGAGCTTTCTAGGCCTCATGAATTGCGGAAGACTATTATCAGAAGCTTTGCCAGATGTAAGTAAAGACATTACAGATTATCCCATCCTTCTCTATAGGTCTGTATTGCCTAAACAGAAACCGGAGGCCTGATGTCATCAATCTGACTTTTCTGCTCTGCCTGTGGAACGCAATCCTCACCCAAAATGCCCTCCATGTTACGGTTTGCCATGTGAGTGCCAGCGACAAACCAAGTTTCTGGATTGATGAAAGGCTGGCCTAGGGTCTCTGTGTTTGTGCACACCGCTACGGATGCGCGCGTGTGTCATCCAGCCTACGCCATTTCATTTCACACTGATGGAAATCGAAATGGAAGGGTCTGACAAATAATAATTAAACGCACTCAGCCTGATTTAATATGCACTTTTTTAAAAAGTTGGAGGGGGGGAGAGATGAATGCCATGCCGATGTTGCTAGCACCCTTTTTTGTAAACAAAGGGAGTGCAGTGCTGGAAAGATAAGGACACAGTAACTCTTCCAAGCTCTGAGTGACTGGGGTCACTTCCTAAAAACAGGAGAGGTTAGCCAGCAAGGCTTAGCTTCAACAAAACAAACACAGCAGGGCGACTGCACTACTCCCTCTCTTCGCCATATGCAGGATGATTTGTCGCCACGGGTGCCTTACAACTGCTCAGCTATGGTGAATCCAGGCATTTTGCTTTAACTCAGGCTGGGCACTTCTGTAGGGTGGAAACTGGACTGCACCCATGTGGTCACTAGAAAAAATGGAATCCCAGTGGAACGGAGCAGCAACCAGGTCTTGGCATAAAGCTGGCAAGCACAACCGAAAGGCAGGAGCCGTTTGTCCGGAGGACGTAACATTCAGGTGTACTTTGGTTCTTAAGCAATGTAGGGAAATGCTACTTCTTTGTCTTAGAACTCCTTGAGGTTCTTGGCTATCGTGACGTCTAAAGAAGCCACTTTTCTAAGCTGTACTCTTGAGCATGGAGAATCCATGCAGCTGTGATTATAAACTGAAATGGAGAGACCCATCATATATACATAATTTCTTTTTCAATGTCATATAAAGGCGGTGGCTGACAACACAGCTTGTGGGAAGGAACTTCTTAAGCTAATTACACCTTATTGGGGGTGGAGGGGTTCTTCTGTCTGTCATGAACCTGCTGCTTGTCACTTTCCCTGGATGATTTCAAGTCTTAGCAGGACGGAGATGGAGAATACTCAATTTGCAAGGTATATGTCATTGTATACCTCTCTTGTTTTATGTACAGGTAAGATTTGCAACCTTATCAAAAGCCTAGCAAGCTTATGGAAACATGTGCCATGGGGTCAGATCATTGCAAATGCTATTAAACAAAAAATGTGTTTATTATTTCAAAAAGATTCTCCCAAAGTTTATGACAAAAAAACACACACAGAGAGAGAAACAAAAACAAAACAAAAAAATAAGACAGAAGTGAGGTTACAAGAAGTAGACTCAAACTGTGATCTGTTCAGGAAATAAGTGTGCAATGTTGCAATGTGATATTTTTGCAAGGTGCATTTGCCAAGCATACGTGTGGGAGTGCTCTGATTTTGTTTTACCGGCATGGAACCTAAAGACGACATTACTAAAAATATGTTTTCCCAATTTGGATATAAATGTCCAAAAGTGAGAAGTGCACAAGGCAAAGCAAAAGATAGCCCTAAAACTCAATATATTCTTCCATGCTCCCGTTACCGTTTTCCTCCAATGTGCTTGACTCAGAAAAAAGATCTACTTGTGAAAACAAAGTTTTGACTTACTTGAGTTAAAAAGAATGTCCTCTCTCTGAGCACCATCTCTAAAGGTCCCTTTTAAAGAAATCTTTTTCTGAGAGGAGATGATGACCACACCTCTGATGGAACCACCTTCATCTGGAGGTGGAGGTCAAGTCTGAATGGTTGGAGAGCAGCAGGGAATAAAACCTTCTTTCCTACACCCTCCACTTTACAAAATTATCAATAATAGTACAGTAATACAAATATTACTATTTTCTACGGCTACTTTCAGGACAGGGCAAAATCTACCTTAAACCTTTTTTTACACATCACTATATCATGCCAGTACTTAGAAGAGGCTTTATTTCTATTACTGAGATGATCAGGAAAAAAATTATAATTAACTTTCCAAGGATATCATAAGTGCTGAAATGAATTTGAACGGAACACTGATTTTTGGTATGCTTGAGAAATTCCTGAAAAATCCACCATGCTCACTTCTCTCTGCTCAGAATTTGGGGAATGAATGGGGGAACACAACGGCTGAATTAGAACCAAGTGGCAAAGTTGTGTGACTGCTATCTTGCTTTCCGTAATGCTCAGCCCAAACACCCATGCGCATGGAAATGCACGCTGTTCTATAGGAAGGCGATCCGGCAGGGCCATTCCAGGGCAGGCTTTATGAAGAGTGAAAATGAGCTCCTGAATTATTTAATGACCCGAGCCCTTTGAAATGATTACTAAAATTCCCACTGACTTCAGGATTAGACACTCCGGACAAATATGAACCGTTCCTTCCATGGCAAAGGGTACAAAGAAAGTGTATGAAGGGCTGAACAGAGGCCTCGGCAATCCTATATTTCATTAACGTGAAATGCATACTCTTTGTTGAGGTGCCAAACTGCAGTGGATACAGAAGCTTTATATATTTGACAATAGGAAGCCCTCTCTAAACGCACTGCATTAAAAGAAAGAAGGAAGGAAGAAAGGAAACCAAGCAAACTCAACAACAGGATCCTTTCAGGAGCCTTGCTGAATAGACTGAAAACCATCAGAGCTCAACTCTCTAAAATATGCCTTACACCTCGGAGTTAATTTTTGGTTAACTTTAAAAGCAAGCACATTCAGCGCCATGCGGTCTTCATGCAACTCATTATCTACACTGTCACAATGAAGATGTTCATGTCTCAATAATAATTTTCCTCCATCTATTACTTCTATACCAGTCATTCCCAACTTTTTGAGTCGTGAACCCCTTTTATAATAGCCAAGTAACCTGCAATCCCCTCCTGCCAAGTTTGCACAAAAACACATTTTTAATGGGAAAAGTCATCCCTTCTCAGAAATTAGAGGCTTCTTTCTCCCCCAAAGGGCCTGTTTCTCGTACATACAACAGACACACTAAGTTTAATACCTGGCTCCAAAGATCGAGGAAGAAATTATTTAACAAAGGCTAGAACACATATAAGGTGGCCCGTGAAAGCCCCCCCCCAAATACTCTGCAACCCCCCCTTGGGGGATCATGACCCCCCAGGTTGGGAAACGCTGTTCTATACTTACACTGAAACATCTTGACGTAAAAACACCCCCCTTTTTCAGCAGAACCTTCGGCAAAGGGCCAAAATGTATCTTCTCGTTTATGTATTCATTCATCTCTTTGTAATTGGTACTGGTTATTTGGCAGTGAGTGGATTGAAAGAGCAAGCTAAGAGAGCAGAAACACAGCTCGTCTATTGTAACAATTTATTATCATTTTGTCTAACTCGGTTGCTTACAGGGATTTTTTTTTTCTTCCAAAAACAAAAAGAGAAAAGCAAAACAAAAAGACAAGCACAGATGATCTACTTACAAAATGAAACCGAAAGGAGGAAAGGACAAATCATACAACAGTTAAAATGCCCGCGAAGTCATGCATTGTAGGACACGATCGCCAATACAAAGCAAATCATAGCAAAAAAACAGAAACAAAGTAATTTAAAAAGCCATACAAGTTTTAAAAGACACAGACTGCAAAAAGATTAAAAAAATAATAAATTGAACTGAACAATTGTGATATCAAGCACCAACAGTAAATGAAACAGCACAGCTCTGTCAGCAGCAACTTTGACATGATAAACAAGTGATTTAAACAAATATTTTAAAATGCATTGCAATTCTACTTTAAGCATGCAACCAATTTCTCACAAACTTTGGGAATAAGAAGAATGGCTTAGTTTGCTTGTTGCTTTTTGAATACCAGAGTGTGTCTTGTTTTGCTACGCAGTCGGAAAATCAGCTCTTCTAGAAGATGTGCTATGCAAGGGGGAAGCCAAAAGAGCAATATGGGACTTGGTTAATTGGGAAGAAACTCTGGAGTGTTTATCAGTTCAGATTGAGAAGAAGAGCCCATCCATAAATTACAGAAAACTGAAAACTATCATGACAAGGAAAAGGCAAGGCTAAACTAACCCCCCCCCCAAAAAAAATTTAGAAAGGGTACTTTCTGAGACTACAGTTCCCAGAATCCCCCTTAACTGCATGCCCTGGGGGGGATTCTGGAAGCTGGTGTCCTAAAAGTAACTGTTCTGGGCCCTTCTCCCGTCATCCTTGCTTTCTCCATCTCATGTGGTGGAGAACGTTGGATCATGGGAGACGATGGAGCCTGAAAGTGGGACACCCCAGGCATGAAATGGCCAACCACCAGGGGAGCGAGGCCTCCACCAGGCAATTCAGAATGGGTACCATATCACTCTCTAGCCTGAAAAGTTACAGGAACAGGGTAATGCATGCTGTGATGACAACTCAACCCATATGGGTGAGAACCCACCACAGGGATGGCACTTCTGCCAGCAGCCCTGTGCCGAGCGTAACAGGTCAGCTGGGCTTATGATGGGCACCATCTCTGACTTCGTTAACAAGGTGGTCTCACTTCTCAGAGGGGCACAATTAAATTTTCAGAGCAGAGCTTCTGTTTACTTTTCTAAGGCAGTCTCCTATGCTCTCATCATGGCACACAGCAGGTAACAACATGCTGGCCCCCCGGGGAAAGGCATCCAAGCAAAGAGAAAGCTCTAAGGAGAGAGACTGGTCATTATGCAGTTCCCAGTAAATTATGATTACTGGATATTTGTACTTAAAACACTCAGATTCACCCTCCTCGTGTGTCTAAGAACCCTTCTGTCCAACAGTTACAATACCTGCTGTTGTGCTTAGATGCGACAGCTATACATGAATAAGCCCTACATGCGTCATCTTTCCAGATTTCTACGCTGCCCTATGATGCAGGTTATAACGAGGTTAGTATTTCTTTCCAAATAAAAGTTTGTGAGAAATTGTTATGCCATTTGCCCACAACCCCACACGCCAATCCCAGTGAGAGTTACAGTTGACATGGGTATTTAAAAAAAAATACAAAGCACAGAACAAGAAAAAAAAAGAAACCCAAGAAAGCAAAAATGAAAAAAAAAAAGAGGAAAGGATATGAAGGTTTTCTTTATTTTAAAAAAAGTCCAGGCAGGTAAAGAAGCAAGAGCAGCATGTTTTTTTTTTCTCAGTGGATACTGATATTAATGTATGGACCACCCAGGCTTTCTCTCTCTCTCTTTTTCTCATTAGTAGTAAACCCCGATTAATTTGTTATGCATCTTTAAGAACTAGTTGATAAAAATTATGTCTTGTGAAATCGGCAAATAGTCTGCAAAGTGAAATAAGAACAGAAATTAATAGATTGAACTGAAAAGATAACTTTCAGATTTTTTTAAAAAAATGGGAAATCGTGATAGGAAGCAATGGTAAGTGTTCTTTCTTTAATTCATACTGAATTTTTGCACATGGATGGGTTAAGTGAAGAGGAAACCTGGTTGAAAAAGCTGGGAAGACAGTCCAACCCTCTATGTTTACTCAGAATTAGGCTCTGCTGAGCATCATGGGGTTCCCTCTCAAATGAGGCATCGGCCTTAATTACTAAAACACAGATTATTCTTCCACCTTTCCACCAGATGCCTGTGACTGTTGATGGGCGTGCAAAGTATTGCACAACTGAAGATGCTGTAGGTAGCATTATTGCTTAACTATGCTCATCACTCTCTAACAAAACAAACTAAAAAGTTCTTAAAGCAGTTTACAACTTTGGCAAACCACCGACATGACAAGAGCAATTTGCTACAGGGCAGGAACACACCAGACAACACACACACACACACACACACACAAACCACACCAGGAAAACAGGACACAAATCAATAGGGCTTCAAAGTGGCAACACATTCCATAAAGGAAAGCTGAACAAGCAACACTTATGCTTTCAGTAAGAGAAATAGGAGCTGGGAAAAGAATTGGTTTCGCATGCCTCTTAAAGGCAGAGAGATTGAGAAAGACAGGAGTGGACGGACAGACCTCTTTGGGTGACAGCATCCTCACTAGCACCATGAAGAAACAGACCATTACCGTCCCATCAGCAGATAGGTGCTTGTATGGGTTTTTCAACTGCACAGATTTCTAGTGACTTGCATTTACAAATGCATACATAATTTTACGCGCACTATGCGTTGGCACGCTTTACGGAAACACCCCTTTCAGAGGTAAGGGGCGCTCTCTCTCCTGCAGTTAGCCTTGGGAGGTTTGCAGCTGCTACTTTCAACAAGACCCTGAGAGTCACCAGATTTTTTTTTCCTTTCCATCCCTACTGTCAACTATGGATTGACTTGCCTCTGGAGAAGTGCACGTCCACATGGAACAGGCGGACCAGAAAGCAACGACTGTACCTCTTCTACCACCTTGCTAGGACTGGAGGAAAAGGGGAGGTACAGCTGAATGGCATCGGCTTACTCGATGACACTTAATTGCAGAATATTATATGATTTTTCTTAAATTGTGAGTACAGTATAATGGGAGAGAGAATAAAACTGTGAAATCCTATAGCATCAGTGTATGGAATAGGTAGACTCTGGGGGACATTTTTCCAGCGCCAGGATCTATACCCAGCCAGACCGTTGTTTATCTAGCTTTCTACATCATCAGCAGCTCTATGGGGCTTCGGCCAGGATCCTTCCCAAGCCCTATCTGGAAGAGCTAGAGATTGAACGTGGGACCTTCTGCATGCAGAGTGGGTGCTTTACTGCTGAGTCATGACCCAGCATTCATGACCCAGCATTCAAACAAGAAGAGGAAGCCAGCGAAACCACAGGTAGAGATTCTGTAATCCTGGAGGAGTCTGAGCTGGTACAGATGGTCGAGATTTTTATCCACAAAGCGTTTAGCAAACATACCACAGTAGTAAATATCATTTTAAAACACAGAACAGCTGCAGGTGAAGACAAAACAGAATAAAGTCCCCTCTCCCAAATAATGAAAACATATATAATGGAACAGGTGGATTGTGGCATTGTTCCACCTGACAATGGTAAATATCACATTTCCATGCTGTGTCAACTGGTATCTTATTTGCTTAGAGAGCAAACAAATAAAAAGTGAATGCCCTCAATGGAAATAGCACAGCAGCTAGAGTCAACCCTTTCTGATATTAAAAACCAATGGCAGTAATGAGTCTTTTGCAATGGTAAGTAAAAAGCAAAATATTCCATTATTTTAATGCTAGGGAGACTATAATTTCCTCAGGGTAAACTGACTTTTACCATCTTATTTTAGCACAAAATTCAGAACCATACTATATTTAGGTTCCATGACACATCTGTGCTGTAATAGGAACTGACACCAGGCCTGTGCTATAATGAACGCTTCTGACACATAGTAATGAGGGTTAAAGAAAGCCACATTCTAATCATTCCCAAGCTTTGGGGGGTAGAGATAAGAAGGGGCATCCCCACAATTACTCTTTCTCAGTGACCCCAATTTAATTCCTGGGCAGACCCAATCCTCACTGGAATGGAGCCAGCAGGTTCTTGTGCTCACTACACATCATCCTAACACCTGCTCGTAAAACAGGCTTTTTCTTCTCAATTTTTTTTGGAAGGGGAAGGAAACAAAGGAAGCAGCCCAAAATTTTACACATCAAACCCACGACAAAAAGGCACTGTCTTAAATCTGGATGGTTTTAACAAGGCATAGAGGTCAGCAGGCTTCTTGATCTGTGGAAAGGAAGCCCCAGATCGTGTTCACATTGGTCTTTGCTCCTCCTCTGGGCACACCTAGTGCGTTTTCTGTGATTTCCTCCTCTCCGGAGGCCATCCAAGGGCCCCCATGAAGCCCAGCGTGTCCAGGGAAATGAGACCCTCTCCCATCAGAGAGAGTAGGGGCATTTTCTGTGCAGAGAGAGGCAGAGGAATCTATGCCCTTCTTGGCCTGTGTGCCTGGAAGGGGGTCAGGCTGGTTGACATCCGAATGGGATCTGTGCAAAGTTCTAGCCCACTGGTTTGGCCAAGGTGGGCCATCCGCTCCCCCATACCTGGCCTACAGGAGTGGTCTACGTAGACAAACTGAGCGGTAGGGGCCTCCAGAAGAAAGTTAATTTCAAGTCTGAGAAATTCTAGCGCTATGTAAGGATAGAGATGGCAACAGGTGCTCATCCCAGCCTGGTCAGCATGGGCTGAAGCAGGTACCAGGAGTCCAATGGCAAATGCTAGAGGAAATGGCAATATAGAATATTTACAAAGTTGGAGGGTTTGCTTGGAATCTTTTACCGTTTTATTTGGTAGGACTTATGAAGGCCCCTATGAATGTCAGACAAACCTCTCCCAAGGAGCAGATGGTGGTGGGATCTCAGTGCTCCTCATAATTATGCTTGGCTCTTTTCAGCTCCAAGCTACTATTCCTGGTTATTTGCTTGGCTAGGTGTCTATTGATTTGTGGGTGCCAATGTGTTAAACTGCACGTGCCAACTAAGTCAAGGATCACACGTGTTAATTGCCACAAAATACGGATTCCCAACTGCCCTTGGTCAGCTAACAGACCACGCTCCCGTCAGCGAGAGCTTCAATTTCACAGTGAATGCTTCACTGGGCCATATTCAGCAGCTGAGGCTTAGAGTCACCATAGCTAGAGCAGAAATATTAGGGTTTCATTACCGCAAACTGAGGAATCTGTACCTAGCCAAGAACTGTTGTGACATATTTAATGCATCTGCTGATATAAGAGTATGTAAGCCTTAAAAAAATCTGTCTGGGTCAGAGAGAATGAAAAGGAAAGGCAGAGAATCACAGTCACTTACTATCACCAAAATGAAGCAATACACTATTTGTTAAAACAGAGATGGAACTCAGTGACATGAACTAGACAAACTGATTATTGCACGTTTCATTTTGAAACTGATTTAGCACTCGAGTCTTTAAGGTAGTTTATCCTACCCTATACCCACTGGTAATCTTTTCTCTCATCCTTAATTTCCATGAAAAGATTGGTTAGGAAGGGGAACTGATCAGCCCGGGGCCACACAAGTGGCTCTGAGGCACAGAACATAGGCAACATACAAACCAATATTGCCTTCGCTATTGCTCTGAAAGGTTTAGAAAATCTAAATTAAAAATGGCATCATTTCCAAAACTTCATTGCAGGGTTGGCTCTACATTAGGCAGACTGAAGCAATTACTCTGCAGAACAGCAGCAAGCCTTCTCTTTCTCTCGGAAGATAGAATGACCTATTCTTCACTCCCTAACCAAGCAGGCTGTTCTCAGGGGTAGTGGAGGATGCACTCCCTTTACTAGTGTAAAAGGAACATTCCAATGCTAATACTGTCAGCGTCTGTATGTAAAACAAAGTGTGCACATGCACACACACACATATGCACACTCACACAGGCTTGTCCTTCTCCTCAGGTGGCTGTGCTACCTCGGATTCAGAGAGCATTAATATTTACAACTACTTCAGTCCCATATATACATATATTTAAAACCCATCTCAAAGGACTCAATATTAGCCAAGGTTTCTTAGGCCATGATCAGATGTAAAATATTGTGTTGTATCTGCTGTACTGCCAGCTATATTTCCTTTCCAAATAATCAGTGTCACCTCACAAGCCTTACTGGTGACTAGAGATACTCAATACCATGCTGTTCCCACTCCTTGTCCTGAGATTAATTAACCACCAATCACTATCATTGTTTACAGAACAATGCTTCTTGGGAGAGGAACTGAATATTGACAAGGGGCTTAAAGGTCACTGGCAGGCCAACACATTGTGCCCAAATACAGTTTCTAGTTTGGGGCCATGTATAAATGCATAAATATTTGCCAACTCTTCTGTCTGAGGAAAAGCAAAGCGTGGACATGTCCACTAAAGCTCCCATTAAAATACAGCAGTTAAGTCTTTAAAGTGCCACAATGCATCAGCATATCAGTTTTTGTGGCCTCTTGTCTTAGCTTGACTGTTCCTGCTCTCTGCCTGGGGGTAAAGATCCTGATGACCACCATAGGAGGATATCAATCTGCTTACCATCTAGGCCAGAGGATTCTCAACCCACTTTTCCCCAGCAACAGCTGAAATGACAACCAGTCCCATTTTCATCTAAAATTCTCCAAAGTGGCTCACCCTCCAAGTGAAAGCAGCCGTGGTGCAAGGTTTCTTAAATGTCGCAACAACGAATGCACCAGATCAACGGGGAAAACTGCAAATACACTCAAATAACTGGGCCAGACCTTCCTTCTCAAATAATCACATAGATGCCCACGGAAACTTAATGTCACCTCTACAGAATTTGGCTTCTAATGGAGAGCATGTCTTTCTTTTTGCATCCTACAAAGGCCTCCCCCAAACCCAGGTTGCTAGACTATAAGTCTTAATAATCAACACAGCTGATTTTCGCTGGTGATGATGGACATTGTAGACCAACGTACAGTATCAAGCTGTGGAAGGCAGACCTAAGCCACTGTTCGAGTTTCTCTTGTTTCCTGGACGTCTCAAATATTTTTCCCATAAGGGGTCTGTCCCTACTGTTATTCCTTTAAAAAGGGAAACCGGCTGAACCTGGATGTCTTAATTAACCCAAGGAAAGCGGCTTCTCCCATTGTACGCAATTATGGAATGTGGGGCAAAGTGACATGACCTCATGCTTGTGACACGCATTAATGAGTTTTAACACGCAGAGCCACCGTTCCCTGGCTGTGGTCTCCAGGTGGGCCACTGCTATTAAGGAAGCAGTAAGCACAGCAGCCAGAAATTGGCTTCACAGCTCTCCCCCAGAAATCCTTCAGGCATGGAGAAGAAGGGGGGGGGGGAAGCACAGACAGGCCCTACTATGTGCCGCACTCTTTTCTGGCATCTCCAGTTTAAGCCTGAAGTGTTGCTGGCATAAAACAAAATGCAGGGCATTGGGTTTCGGTGACTGCCTGTTGATAGCGGCAAGAGATGAAATGGAAGGGGCTGCTCATTACCAGCAGGAGGGGATGTTTAAAAGCCAGCCAGCCTACCATTTCAAAACCTCAGGAGTTCTCAAAGTGACGACTGGCAGCATTAAACTCGGGAGCGGATGGAGATCGCTAAATGCAGCAGAGCTGACAGCTGTGCAAAGACGGGAAGCAAAGGGTAGACGAAACAAACAAGGGGAAGGCATTAGGCCGAAACCTCATCACTACGAAGAGGGGTGGAGGGCCTTCCACGGGAGATGACAAATGGATTCAACCTCAGAGGATGACGAAAGGTTGACAGAGCAGGTTCTGTGCAAAACGGGGGCCAGTGATTCTGTTTGCTTGTGTTCCCTCCCCCCCCCCAAATAACCAGTACCAATTAACACCCAAAGTAAGCAGACTTCACTTGCCTTTCCACTGCACTTCATTTTCAATACAAGACTAAAAAGAAGAGCCCTGCTTATGGGTCTTTTAAAAACTCAAGTTGCCATCACTTCCTTTTAGAATTATTCCTGGCTCAGTTCAATCCCCGACTTCAGAAGGTGATTCCACACATGCTTACTCTGAAGTTCGATGGTTCCCAGTAGGGTCTCTACTCTCCACTCGTCTTAATTGCAACCCCCCCACCCCACCCCATGACAGTTGTTTCATTGCAAGTTTATGTATTAAAAGTTTCACATACCTGGGAATTGGTAACTGTAACTGGGGGCAAATCCAGGGTATCCTCTGCCGTAGGTTGCGACAAAATTTGGGTAACCTTGAATACAGAAGGGTTTGGGGGGGAGGGAGGAGGAGAGAAAACAAGAGTTAAAATTCTGACTCCTAACGTCACATGCAAACAATGACACCAAAGACTGATGAAGAAAATTCACTTTTGTACAGTGTTAGAATTTACTAACACTGTAAACATTTAATCTGTACAGTGTTAGATTTACTCTCGCTGTACACAATTAATGCTAAGTAAGTGCTTAGTGTTTACATATAACTTCAATGCATTTAGAGTGCTTCCCACGTACCGACTCAGTGTTTCCCTACCTTGGGTCCCCAGATGTTCTTAAGACTACAGCTCCCGGAAATCCAGGCCAACACAGTGGTTGGTGGAGTTTCTGGGAGTTTCAGTTCACTGACGTCTGGGGACCCAAGGTCGAGAACCATTGTACTTACTGAATGAGCCTCACAACCATCAAGCAAAGTAGATCTGCATTATGCCGCTCATGTTGCAAAGCCTGGAGCTTACTGCCACAACTTTTTTAAATGGCAGCCAATGTCTCCATTTAGATTCCGGACACGGAAAGAAAAAGAAAAATCAAATGTCTGGAAGGTGGTATTGTCTCTTCCGCTTCGCTCCTACCCTGCAACCCTTTCTCTCCATGTCAGAGGCCTGCTCCTCGTAATTAAAATGCACTCCGGTAACTCCAAGGACTCTGCCTCCTTTTCTCGACAGAGAAGAGTAAATGCCAAACGCTAAGGCTAAACACATAGAACAGGTTTGCTCTGACATTTGGAGAGCTTACAACAAATGTACTTTGCATCAGAACTATTGACAGTTGGGGATTAAGGTACTAGTAATGCTTCATCCCAAGAGTGTGAAGGACAACTGTTAACACATCCAAGATTCAGAGGCAGTCAAGATCAAGGGAAGGCCGACATATTTTAATTTTACCGGATACTAACATTCAGCAAAGTGACCAATATCAGTTCTCATGAGGCAGACTCTGAACCATCAGCACCAACTCAAAAAATACATGCACCCTGTACGTTCTGGCATTGCTGCCACTGGTTCTCGAGGTGTAACTAAATCTTTCAAGAGAGACATGGGGAGCCAGTTCATCTGCTCTGGTTCTAAAGGCCGGGGACTTGGAGTCCCTTCGTTGGGATGAACTCATCAATACCTAAGCCCTCTGAATTGGCTTCGAGCTTTTAAGTAGGAAACAGTTTAGACAGCTTTAGTAATTGATGGGGAAAACTACCAGAGTCACTTCTGTAAAACCTCCCTTTCTTTCTCGCTGTCCTGGCAGACTGAAAACCCATATTTCCTATACAGACAACTTCTTATCCTACCCGTAATTAGTTTTTCACAGCTCCCAACATTCTAAGTACAACACCACACTGGCTCTTACTTTATTCAATGTTCACTTGGAAAAGCATATGAAAAAAAAAGACATTTGGTTTTGGAAGCGGGGAGCAACCTGTTTGCAAGCAGAATGTCTCAGCTTTTGGCCCGTGCCGGAAACTTTCCTGGTTGTCACAATTCTTCAGGAGGTGCACAAGATGGCAGTGAGACTACAATTCCCAGGAAGCACCACAGCACCTTCCTTTTTTGCATATTAACAACAGGAAGTAATGCCAAAGGAATGGGTCATAGAGAGATACACTGGGCTCTCTTTTTCAAGAGTGAGTGGTTCTGTTTAAATTCCATGCGGTGTGCTGACCAGATCATTCCACCACAGCGGATACAGAACTATCTGCCCTCAGCAGAGACAGAAGGAAATGAGGGCAGATCACTGGATCACACAGAGACACAATGGGAAATATTTTCAGGAAGAGATGTGCACTGGCCTTCTAACAACCTTTCATGATTTAATCCATTTCTTCTGGCACATTAGCGATTCCACCATGTTTAAGCACTCAGCATGGAAATTTATCGTTTAGCATAACGTGAACATTCTTTTTAAGACTAAGATAGACAACCTCTAACCCCCATGAACATCAAATGTTTCATGTGTAAGCACTTTCTGTGTTTTCTCAGGGATGTAATCCAGATCCAGGGGAACCTTTCTTTTGATCTTAATCTGGATCAAGCTCTGAGCACACTGCGGCACACAATAATATTTGTTCTTTTGCCAAGGGCTCATCTTTCCAGTTGCAAACATTTTTACAAAGCTGTTGCAGTGCAGTGCAACATGCTCAATTTATTTTGCCAACATAGCATGCCCCCTCCATTTCAGATGAGATTTAGATGTCCATATTGTTTGCTATTAATCATCATTTAGAGGTGGAACATTAAACGCTTGGATGAATTTTGATTACTAATTATGAAGGGATGGATTTGAGCATGCGAAACAAAACAGTGATGGCCAAACAAGGCGCTGTAGTTTTAAATGCACGGAAACGCTCCGTTTGCCTCCTTAACATGCATTTTCGCAAGGTAATCCTGCCAGAAATTCATCGGATTGTAAGTTTTGCAAACCATTTTCCTTCCAACAACAATATTGACCGAACGCTTCTAACTGAGGCTGCAGCGCCTAGAAGAGTTGAAAAATTCACAGTGAAGTGCCATTTTGAATCAAATACTATTTTATTCCTTAATCAGGGCTCGCTTCAGGGTCAATGGGGTAATGAGTTTGTCACACTACATTTGAGGCACTCTTTTCCAACAATTAACGGCTGGACTGCGTCTGGGTAACAATGCAATCCTTCCCAAAACAAAGGGATCGAACATATGTGCTCTCTTCTAAGAACGGTTGGTGGACAGTTGACATGCTTGTTTTTCTAGGCACTAGACTCCTTTGGTGAGTAATCCCCATGCAAACATAATATATGAATGTGAAATACATTCTATGACATATGCTTCAGGGTCAGGATGCAAATGCTGTGGTCGTGCAAGGATGAATTATTGCGCAATATTATTCCCTTTGCCTCCAGAGTGGACAAAGTGCATGGCGGTGCTCTCAAGAAGAGAAAAGAACAAGGAGATGTTTTGCAAAAATTAAGCAACACAGCACCGTCATAAATCACACTTCAATTTTTTAAAAAAGGTGGCTTCTTTCTTACATGGATTTCTACATCACATAAACTGTCTTTTTTTAAAGCAATCTTCCAGTTGCTTGCTCCCTGTACTTTGCTTCTCAAAGTTTACACCCATTGCAAAGAAACAATAGGACCAGATGCAAGAATCTTCTAGAACTGAAAAACTTAAGGGGCCACATTCAACCCAGAGAGCCAAAATTTATCAGAACAAGGACTTAAGGGAGAGCAATTTCTAAACCAAGTGCACCTTGTCTCTAATGCATATGTGCAAGATGTATATTCATGAACATTTAGATGCCACATAGCTCAGTTTGTTGTTTTATAGGCTGCTTAGGCTAAATCTGAGTGGATGAAAATTCATCATAGGGCAATTATTATGTAGGGAATAAGTAAAGTCATCAAACTCCGAGAGGCAGTGGAAGACAGGAGGGCCTGACGTGCTCTGGTCCGTGGGGTCACAAAGAGTCACACATGACTTCACAACTAAACAACAACAAGTAAAGTCATCATGCACAGGATACTATGGGCAGTAGACCTGGGTTTGTTACAAGCTTATTCCTACTTTGACCTGTGAAATGTTATAGGATATAATATGGCTTTCGTCTCTAGAATTGGATCCTGTGTGAAGAGTGATTTATTTGGGGTACATTTTCCTGGTCACTTGTCAGTACACTTTTAATTCAGTGCTATTTTGACTTTTCCTGCAACTGTGTAGATGTCCATGCAGTGTTGCAAAGGGTCCTTAGTATGCATAGGCTATGGCTCCCGGGGTCTTCGATCCTTCTGCTTAGGTTTCTCAAGATGTGTTGAGAAATGACTGGGATTTATGATCAGCAAGCTTCCATCTGGAGGAGAGGGGGAATGTACCACAGCATGGGGAGAAGCAGAAGTATGAAAACAGCATCAAAACCAGATGTGATGCTCGGTACGTTCTAGATCAGTGGTCCCCAACCTTGGGCCTCCAGATGTTTTTGGACTTCAACTCCCAGAAATCCTGGCCAACAGAGGTGGTGGTGAAGGCTTCTGGGAGTTGTAGTCCAAGAACACTTGGAGGCCCAAAGTTGGGGACCGCTGTTCTAGATAACAGGTACCTGCTATAGACAAGGACTTATAATTAACCTTTTAAAAAATAATTAAGGCTCAGTGAAGTTTAACTACTATTGTAATTTAACACAGGCTAGTTTCATTCTTTCTGTGGTGTAACTGTAACCGTTTTAATTCCTTTTCTAGTTAGAACCGTGTAGCCTCTATGAATGGTAGAGGGGCAAATATCACATGGTTCAAGTGATGGCTCTTGCTGTTTCTCCTTGCTTTGTTGAGGAAAATTTTGGCTTAGAGGCCAATGGCCTGTAGCACTTAGATCTTTTTTTAAAATATATATATTTAAAAAATTATTATGTATTATGCTGATGATCAGCATCAGGGAATCTAAGTACTTGCCAGATTTCATTCCAAGGTGTCATAAAGTAATAATAATTGGAATATATATATATATTCCAATTATTATTACTTTATGACAAAATACCTGGCTCCTGCTTCAAAGAGGTCACAGGGAGACATATCAACATCTAGGCTACAACCTAGAGATGTATATAGTTGCTTTCGGGGCCACCTCTCTGCGGTGCCAATACCTGCTCCAGAGGTTTTTCCAGTCCTCCAGAGCAATTTCAGGCTGCATGGAAGGCTTGTTCATTTTGGAGGAAGGTGTAGGATCCCAAATCATTAACCTCAGCCTTAGCTGGGTCCTTAAATGTGGCATTGTGCAACATACAGACCACGTCCACAGATAATGTGGAAGGGATAAGAAATACTTCATCTCCTGCTTGATATGAGCCTTTATAAGATGAGATAATGGAAGGAAGAAGAACCACCCTGGACCAGAGCTCATAAGCTGCAAAACTTCCTCCAATTTCCAAGAGAAAGAAAGGTTTAAAGACAATCAACTGGGATCAGCGAACACCGTAAGGACACCTGTGTCACTCCACCCTACCTCCTTCCAACAACAAA